TATTACCCCGGCGGAGGTGTAAAAAGCCAATTTGACTTCAGTCCCCCTTGCGTAGATCGCCTCGGCAGCAAACAAAGGGTCCCCTTGACCCATCTACACGACTCGAGCGCTTGAAGTAATGAATGACATAACAACAACTACGAGCTTAACGTTACACTCAAGGCGGATTCCTTTCCATTCCCGTACAGCCCTGGAGCCAGTCTGAACAGCGCTGTGCCTCATAGGTAGTTGGTACGATGATCAGACAAGCATGGGCTCAACCAGCCCTGCAGCAGAATTCCGTCTGGTCGCCCGCGACGCGGTTGGTTTGGAAGATGCCGCAGGAATGGTCGCGATGGAGCACTTGGATCATCACCCATCGTATTCTTCATCAAACTAAATTGGGGCGCAGCGAAAAGCTTGACCCAACTCCAAGAGCAGTCTCTTTGGTTCAGAAGGGCCGCTAGCCTTCCATGGAGAGTCCATGATCCTATCGCACCAGAGTGTGTCTGACGATGGCTCAATCAGGTACCCCGACCATTGTCGGGAAATGCTGGAATCGCAAAGATCTTGAGATTTCCCAAATTGAGCTTAAGTCGTGGTGGCTTTAACTCGCTCTGACTAGTCGATAAGTCGAGCATCTATCAAGATACTATCAACTATCAATGGGGTCGGTCCCCGAAATCTGAGCCCACGTGCCTGCCCTACGGTGTACGATATGTATGCGGTGCTGTCGTCCATTTCGCAGGGTCTGGATCTCTTGGCAAAGTGTTACCCTCCCACAGGGCGCCGGCGCGACGCCGTTTCTCCCCCTGGCTGGCCCTAATGAGGTAGTCTCCTGAACAGTAGTGTGTCCCCCTCCAACCCTAAGCTACTTTTGACAGGCAGGGCCAGCGATCGCGTGTAGTTGTGGCGGGATGGCATCGGTGGTGTAGCGCGAGCCATTTGCACCAACCAGCGACGTCCCTCGACGCAGGTGCGTGCTATGCGGCTTAGGAAGCGTGCTCGTCCATGGGCAGATCGCTTGTTCATCCCCATCACAATTTAATTCTCTCATCTCAAGCTCCTCATGATCATGAATCGCGCGAAGCCAGATTGGATGGTTTAGAAGATCGAAAGTGATAGCGCCGCGCCTGCTAAGAAAGAACAAGCAATGGCTGCAGCAACATCAGCATGCATGTACAGTATTTAGGAAAGTCTGGGTGTACTGTATGCACAACAAGAGACGGGTTGGGAGGGTGAGCCAACAAGACAACGGCGACCGCGTCATGGCCCAGGCAGCGACCATTTCTCAGGACATGCTCCCTCTCCTCCCAGACAATTGGGCTCGTTGGAGGATGGGTACTGCAGCCGGGCCCCTTGGTCAGGGCCTCATTTCCCGGTACGAGGATGGAGCATTGAAGAGTCGTCGACGCCGTGATGGCGCAGCCGCCAAAAAGCTCGTATGGCAAAGCCGCCGGCCGCGGGGAGCTAGAAGCCAGGAGAGCCAGCACCATTCTGCGGACCCGGCGTCCCTAGGCAGCCGAATTTCGAGCATTTTAAAAGGCCGGGGCTAACATTCGATGACATGACAGTGTACACAGAATGGCCGAATACGTGAGACAACACGCAATCTTCGGCAATTGAGGGCATCGTGAGTCTGGAACGTTGGAGAACTCGGGTGCTAGTACTTTTGCTTAGTGCTAGGAGGGTTAAGGGGCTATGCCCAGGGAAGGGTGAAGAGCCAAAAGTAGCTCAGGGAAGGAGCTATCGTCAGCTTAAGGTAGGTAGTTTTTGCGTTACCCTGTGGCTACTGTAGCGGCACGATGGTTCGACCAGTGAAGGCGTGAGGAAAGAAGCATCGTCATTTTGACGCGATGATGAGCATCTTCCATCCATTCGACATACGTGAAGATTCAATCAGCTACAGTAGCTACAGTAGCTACAGTAGCTCTAGCAGCTACCCTCCCTAGCCACCCACCGCTCACGCGATCGACTATTGCACAAACGACATGAGACAGATCATACTAGGGATGCAGCTAACAGAAAACAGGCCTGGCTCTGGGGAGCAGAAGGGGTGGTAGAGCGTCCTTTAGATGCTTAATTCTTGGTCGGCCCCAAGTGATAGTGTCTCGAATGCCGCCCTAGCGCATCTCTGCTAAGTACCTAGGTAGAGTGGCTGGGCAGCCAGTACTCTCCCGCGCTGCCCCGATGTGGTATGAAGCTGCTGGGACAGAAGGAGGCGGTCGCTCTTTCCTTTCCCTTCCCCGTTGTCCATGTACGGTACCTTCCCGCACTGTACTTTCTTCAGGTACCTCGCATGCACTGGCCATCCACTCTCGATCGTGGTTTCCAGCAGTTCCATTAGTGGAAGCGACCCATCCGCGCTTCAAACCGCATTGCCCAATTTTGCCGGGTATCAAACACTTGCCATTCCCTCAGCTTGACAATACAAAATGCAAGTATAGCATTGTACTTTGCCCTAGCTATAGTCTAAATGCACATGCATGCAACCAAAGGCAATCGTTGGGTGGTAGAGAGGGGATCTGGCTTGGTGGAAAATGTCCGGACCATTATAATACTGGTTGGCCAGCCGGCCACTGGCTCCTTTTTGGGGGAGGGAAAGCACGCTGGTGACTTACACTTGCTTCCTGCTCTCTCACTCCCCACTTCACTTATACCATCCACCCAATTACCCACCGCATCTCACTCACACGCCCTCACATCCACTCATCATCCATCCATACATACATGGTACACACACATACTCTCACATACATACAAGTCTCTCCTTCCTCCCTTTCTCCACCGTCTCATTACTACCAACTGCACCTTGCTCTCTTTGTCTTCCTGACTCTCTTCCCTACCTTCCGCTGTGACTCTCATTTCTATCATCTCTCCACCCTCTCTACTCTATATATTATATTATCCATCGGGAGACCCTGGATTCAGCCCTGCGCTGCTCAAGCTTAAAAGCATACTTCCACCTTTCCCCCAGAGGTCACTTCATTTGTGTCCCGCCCCAGACCACCCATTCACCCAATCACACGCTCATTGCTTTCTACGAGCATTCCAGGCCATTGTCCGGAGATATTGTCAAAGGAGACAGAAAAGAATAAGCACTCAAAGGAATTAAAGGGAACGAAGGCTCATCAACGGCATATTGGACTCCACCTCCAGAATAACACTCTTGTTGATCCGCCCTCGATTGTCGCTATTCACTCACATCGGTCCTGACCCAACTGCATCTCGCACACAAAGACACGACAGCATTGTGAATATTCTCAAGAATCAGTAGACACTTACCTCAGATTCTGGTCCATCAATCAAAACTAGTTTCTGGACGTAGTCATATCTGCATTTTCACCCGGCTGGTTGATCGCAGGTTGTCAACTGTCGCTCCTGCAGGTCAATCTCGGCAGTCGTGTATAGCCTGGAGTGAGGAGGGACGGGAGGAGACGAATTCCCCACAGGGTCTTTCGTCCCCTTTTCTTGGCTCTTTTCTTGTTGCTCACTTCTCCTTTTAACCCTTACCCTACATACATCAGAGATAAGAAGACGAGAAGATGTGGTCAAATACTATATTACCGCTGGTCCTCGCGCACTTGACCCTCTGCGCACCTCTCCCGATCGTACTCGAGGACGACATGCAAGCGGCCTTGCTCGCATCACCAGCACGGCACCCACCAGCACCCATCGGTACAAGGCCGGGCCAGCTGCGGCCGGAACTCTTGGTGGGCGGAAGAGAAGAAGAGACTGACCAAAAGGTGTTTGATAATCAGCCTATCACGCCCTCGACAACGGAGCAGCCTTCGTCCGTCCTGGCATCACCGCAACCCATCGAGACAAAGTGGCTCCTGGCCCTGACTGGCCCAACCCCAGTGCCGTCGTCGTCTACGTCGACTACGTCCACGCTGGTTACGGTCTCAGACGTGATGGCGGACCCGGAGGAGGAGGCCAAGTACGTGGCCGCCATGATCGCAGAGCTAGAGGTGTCGCGCGGCGTGATGGCGCCCTCGTCATCGTCCTCTTCGCGGCTCGAGGCGCCGCCGTGCCACTACGCCGCGTACCTGTCGCGCGAGTACCGCGACATGCTGGTCATCAGCCTCTTCGTGACGTTCGTGGTCGTCATCGTGTTGGCGGAGATGTGGGAGAAGGTTGTGGAGTCCAGGAGGTCAGCAGCGGCGAGCAGCAGTCAAGCCGAGGGAGCACTGGAGAAGGGAGATGCTGTCGCGTGTCGCCATCGCAAGTGGAGGATTGCCGATCTGCGGGCATGGCGGCGCGTGAGGCAGCTCCTGGGCCGCGAGGGCGCGATCCGGCTCGAGGAAGGCGAGGCGCCCGTCCAACCACGGGGGATCTCCATCCAGGCTTCGTCCTACGTGCCGGTTACACCAGAGACGGTGACGCCAATAATGACGGCGACGACAACGCTCGAGACGATTGACGATAAGACGGAGCTGCTGCTTTAGGTCAAGCTCACCGCCACCCTCAACTCGGATCTTCTTCCTTTGCTCCTCTGATCTATATATCCATCCAGCATATTATATGCGGCGTTCAAACAATTCGTTCATCCTACTGTCCATCCAGCGGGTTTCCAAGCGTCAGTCAGTCATGGGAATTGCGGAAACAGTGCGGTTCATTTGGGCTTCTTTCTGCTTTGTCCTCTTCTCTCTGCAGAAGAGATTGTGTGTACGCGGCGTTCTAAAGAAAGTGAAAAGGCTACGGGCTGTTGGCCATTGTGTTTACTGGGACGATGAGTTGGTATATCTGCGGCACGAGAGAGACCGCGCCGTCAGAAGCTTCAAGGCTTCTTGCGTTATGGCCCTGAGCACGAAAGGGGATTGTACTTGGGTATGACGGACGATAGGAGACGAGCAGAGGAGATGAATGGAGTCGTGAAAGAGAGAATTACCTATTACAGACACTCTTCTACCGTTATTGGTATACCTTCAGGAGCAGAAGCTAACTAGAATCCGAGATCAAGAATAAAAAATGACTTCAATTCATTGGCTCCGTCGTGTGTGCCTCGCCTTCCCGATCCCAACGTCGCTTCGGCGTATGAAGTAATGGGCAAAACTTGCCATCAAGTGTAATAAGAAAGCAGACGTCGATATTAGGGAAGGCTATTTGATAGCCAATGCGGGTGGCTTATCGACTCGCATCTCACCGCAGAGCCTCAATAGCCTCCTTGTTGACTTGACCGCTTCTTCTCGGCTGACTCCAAGATGCTTCCTGTAGACGACTAGGCGCCTAATAGCATTGTGTAGGTGGCATGAAAGCTAGCTTTGTCGACTCTCTATGCACGCTGTCAATTGCCCAAGCTCAAATGCATTTGACAGCGAATCCCAGCCAGACAGCACACATCATGCGGTTGTCAATTTGCATGACAGGTCGTCTCTCGACATGATGCACATGGGCTTTTGTTTTGTACCCATGTAATACGGAAGGACGAACAAAAATGGGCACAAGACGCACACCCTGCGCAACTCAATCGAGCGTGGATTCTGTGACACCTGCCCAAAATTCAATTGAGACGAATGCTGCTCCTTTTATGCTGGGTCATCCCACGCATTTGTACATATCATATCATCCCGCCCTTCTGGATTGCAGTCATGGGAATTTAAAAATGGGTGTCACTGACAAAGCCATGTGCAGCAGCGGTTCACGTCATCCCAGCGAATCCTTTGGCTTGAACGAACCAGAGACAGCAACCACATTTGCGGCCCCCAACCCGATATAGCTAAGAGGACGGCTACCCCGGCGGCACCGGAGGGGGGACACGAGACAAGTCAAGATCGAAGCGACCGAGCAAGCAAGCAGAAGTGACGGGCAGGAAGAAAGATCCATCTTTGCCCTTTCTTGGCGAACTCGGTGGCCCATAGTAGGTATTAGCGGCTGTAGTCAGCCACCGCACTACTGTACTGTCCCTCGTAGGGCTAATTTGTAGACGATCTGTCGCCCTCGCCGTCACTGCCGCTCCATGTATATAATATAGTAGGGATAGACAGGTAGCTGTGAATGTACATCGCATTGGCCTCAGTAAGGCAATTGATCTCGTGCCAGTATTACTCCAATGGGCTCTACTAGAGACGGCGTGCTGGCTGGCAGCCAGCACATTGGACAGGCGAGACACGCCATCCCACCCCTTGCCCTGGTAGCAGCTGAAGCAATGTGTAGAAGCTGTCATTGGTGACATTTGAGATCGAGCTTCAAGGAGCTAAAATGCTGTGCGTGTGTGTGTCGTGTATGTGTGTGTGTGCGAGGGTGCCCCCAGACCCAGAGATGGTAGGATCAGCAGTAAGAGGGGGCGGGGCTGATGAATCGTTTCAGCGCGGGCCACTTATATGCATGAGGTCCTCAGCCCAACAGCACCAGCCCCTCGTTAACCCCGAGGAGGGAACCACAGCTGATTTCTCTCCTGTAATCTTTTTCTGAAAAGGCTTTGTGTGAGCCTCTTTCATTATCTTGCTTGCAGAGTCGACCGTCTCGCTGTTGGAGTTCAATTGCAGCCGCAAGCTGGACATTGAGGCTGCTTGCTCATTCTTTGACCCGCGAGAAAGTACCCCGCAGTGTGCGCGCGGGCTCTGTAGCTGAACGAGATTGCTCAAGGGGCATAGGGACACACAAGACCACCAGCTTATCTACCTGCCATGTCTCTCCAAGTAGACGACGACCGGCGCCGAGGACGCTCGCGCAGCCCGTCCGGTCGCGAGCGAGACCGAAGCCGCGGGCCTCCCCTGGTGGTAGACACGGACCCAGACGACCGGTACCGCCGCGGCGCCGATCGGGACCGGGACCAGGAACGGGACGACCCGCGGGACCGCGCCATCTCCTCGTACGCCGACTACGATGACCGCCGCTCGTCGTATAGGCCGCCCCCATCGCCGACATCTGAAGACCCGTACTATCGCCGTAGAAGAGACGATGACGATGACCCGCGCGCGAGCTACAGCGCTTCTGGTGGGCGGCGGGAGAAGGAGTACAGATACGAGAAGGAGACGAGATCCTCGAAGAGAGACTCGGATCGGGATAGCGACCGTGACCGCGACAGGGACCGAGACAGAGAGAAGGATAGGGCCCTCAATGCAGACGCTTTCCTGCCTCAGAAGTATGCCAAGAAGCTCCAGGAGTCTGACGCCATGAAGTTCATGACCGCGCCTTCTGGTGGGAGCCGTGACCGCTCCAGATCTAGAGACAGAAGAAACGACAAGTACGAGGAAGACCTAGCCTATGGCAGCAAACCCTCTCCGCCGAGCAAGTACGCTCGTCCAGAGTCGCCACAGGCCCAGTATTCGTACGACAAGCCGAAGCAATGGGAATATGCCCGGCCCGAGGAGAAGCTGTCCTATTCCAAGCCCGAGGACCGTCATGGCGCTGACAGTCTTGACCCGCGGTATGGAAGGGACCCCAGGGACCCGAGAGATGCCCGTGCGCCAAGCCCCGGTCCGGAGCGGCGAAAGAAGTACTACCGCGAGTCGCTGGGTGCTGATCCACGGGGTTCCGATGCAAGTGTTGTTACTGTCGAGCCAGGACAGACCGCACGCCGTAGCGCTATGAAGCGTTCATCGTCGCCACAGCCACCGACGGCAAAGATGTCATCCTTATCTGTAGGGGCTCCGATGGCCGTGGCAGGCGGCCTCGCAGCGGCACCAGGGTCACCACTACTAGAGTCTTATCATGGCACATATCAGTCCATGTCTCCTATGCCCTCTCCTCTGCTTCTGGCCTCCCACGGACCTGGAGCTGAGATCCGAGACATCTCACCCATCGGATCCGATGACGAGCGAGGTGGCAAGAAGCGTAACAGACGTGCTAGGTTCCACGACCCAGAAGAGGATGCTAGGAGCCTAGCTGATGCACTGCGCGGCAGTGGGCCACCGAAGACGCACCCGCTGATCGAGGTACTTCCGGGTCTGACGCATGAGCAGATCATGGAGTTGCGCACTGACTACAAGCGTCTGGTGAAGACTGGTCCCGAGAGGAAGGGCGTCAATGTGGCCAAACATATTCGCGCACGGCTCAAGGACGAGGATCCGTCGCTGATGAAGGCGTGTTATGCCACGGCGTTGGGCAAATGGGAGAGCGAGGCATACTGGGCCAACTTCTGGTACCAGGGCGATAAGACGCGCCGCGAATTGCTTATCGAATCACTGATGGGACGCACGAATGCAGAGATACGTGCGATCAAGGACGGGTTTAGTGACAAGAAGTACGACAATAGTCTGACCAAGTGTATGAAGACGGAGCTCAAGGAAGACAAATTCAAGAAAGCCGTGCTGATGGTGCTTGAGGAGAACCGCATGGAGGAGTACGATCACCGCGGACACCCGCTGCAGATCGACCCGTACTTGGTCGAGGACGACGTCAAGGCGCTACGCAAAGCTGTGAAAGCGGAAAAGGGCGGCGAGTCGGCTATGATCCAGATCGTCGTCATGAGAAGCGACAGCCATCTGCGGAAGGTGCTACGAGAATACAACGAAGAGTATGGGTCGAATTTTGCAAGGGATGCGCTAAAGAAGAGCGGAAACCTGGTGGTATGTTGCGCAGTCTTTCCATATCTCTTCTTGTTCGTTTGACTGACATTGATGTAGGGCGAGTTGCTAGCTCATATCCTCAACGGTGTCATCAACAAGCCCGTTCGGGATGCCCTGCTCGTGCACCACGCACTGACGGCATCGAAGAAAGACGAATTGCGCCGCGAGCTGTTGATTTCTCGTTTGGTGCGCTTCCATTGGGATCGTCACCACATGGCCGCGATCAAGCAGTCGTACCGAGAACGTTATGGCAGAGACCTCTCGGAAGCCGTTAAGGACGGCACCAGTAAGGAGTGGGGCCAATTCTGTCAAGAGTTATGTATCACGAGAATGCCAGACGACGTGCGCAAGGTTGAGAGGATTGAGATCAAGCGATGAAGATGAAGTAACTGCTCGGCTTCATTTGAATATCGGCAGCGTAGAACTTGAGGAATACCAGTTCGAGGACATCTAAATACCACCGATGGCCTTGCCAGGCAAATGCCAGTAATGAGGTGATCGTTTTGCTTTTCAAGAGACTAATTTAGGAGAATTGATACCTTGCTTAAGAGTTTCTTCTGCCTGCTTCTAAGTGAATGAGATTCGTTTGCCATCCATGTATACCAGGAGTAGTACATTCCTACCTCCCATTGTAAGGTGTGCTGATGTAATCTAGACGATAAGCGATAACAACGTTGGTCCTGCCCCACCATGGAATTTGATTGCCCCTCAGTCGGGTTCAGACGGCATTGCAATGAGGGGCGCCGAAATGCGGGATGTCATATTGACACAATCGTCCGATGAAGAGCCTCAACTTGTCTTTTGTCAAAGTGAAGTAAACGCAGGGATCCTATAACGTTGTCTGATTTGTCTTCTTTCATCTCTCTAGATTCTTCAACTCACCATCTCCACTTTCCTGCTTACTACAGTGATCGGATCTGCATCCGAGGTGGCGGGCGAGCATTCTTGAACTGCAACTGAATCGCAAGCTTCTCGTCTACCAAGATCAAGTAACTACACCAGACATCAACCAAGATGCTAGACATGCCACTTGACCACGGCTCGCTGGAGCACCTTCTTCCGGCCTCGTGGAAGACCAGCATCACCGCGTGGCTAGCGGAGGACACACCATCTTTTGACTACGGCGGGTTCGTCGTCGGCGAGGTCCCGCGCACGGCGACGCTATGGGGCAAGAGCGCAGGCATCCTGGCGGGCATCCCCTTCTTCAACGAGGTATTCAAGCAGTGCGGCTGCACCGTCGAGTGGCTCGCCACTGAGGGCAGCCATATCGAGTCGCCCCGCGCCATCGGCCACGGAGGCAAGACCAAGCTGGCGACCGTCACCGGACCCGCACGGGGCATTCTGCTGGGCGAGCGTGTAGCGCTCAACATCCTGGCGCGCTGCAGCGGTGTTGCGAGCATGAGCCGTGGCATGTTGGTCAACTTGCGCAGTGCTGGCTTCCGCGGTCGGTTGGCAGGCACAAGAAAGACGACCCCGGGGTTCAGGCTGGTCGAGAAGTACGGCATGCTGGTCGGTGGCGCCGATGGCCACCGGATGGATCTGAGCTCGATGATCATGCTGAAGGACAATCACGTCTGGAGCCGAGGCAGCATCACTCAGGCCGTGAAGGCCGCCAAGAGCGCAGGTGGTTTCGCTCTCAAGGTCGAGGTGGAAGTACAGAGCGAGGAAGAGGCCGATGAGGCTATCGAGGCGGGTGCGGATGTCATCATGCTGGATAATTTCACTGGCGAGGGTGTCAAAATTGCTGCGAAGAGCCTGAAGGCAAAATGGGCAGGCAAAAGACACTTCCTCCTTGAAGTATCGGGTGGTTTGACATTGCAGAATGTGGAGATGTTTGTCACCAATGGTAAGAAGAGCTTCTCCATGTTTTCTGATTATGAAGAAATACATTTGACTAACTCGCATACACCAGACGTCGATATTCTCTCTACAAGTGCCATTCATCAGGGCGTGCCGCACGTTGACTACTCTCTAAAGATTGATCATTGAAGCAATGCATCCTCTACGAGAAGTCTTTAGCTTCAGAAACACTGAGGTCACGGCTTTCGTCTGAAAGCATGTAGATCTGTGTGGCATCGGCAGGAATTCTGGGCATTTGCATCGGTTGATTTTTCGCACCGTCAAGTCAAACCAGTCAAAACAGGGACAGATAAATTCCAGTCAAGTTTATGTATCATATCAATAGAGTTGACCGTAGACGCTATACTGCTAGGTTGTGTAAACCCCTTACCCGTGTCAACAAACTCGATCCACAGAAAGCTGTCCAGCTACGCAGGATCGACTTTTCTTGAACCATTATATTCGTGATCAACAAGCCTGATCGTATGTCTAACGAGCATGCTCCTCCATTAACTTTTGGTAGTTGTTCAATTATTCGTCGGGTCGAATGGCAAGCCATGTCAGAAAAACCACGCTTATGCACCTCTCTGACCTTATCCCCGGGACTTAGCTTGTCGGGAAGGAATCTGCATATAACCTGCATACAACAACCCCCAGTTTTCTTGGCACCAGAAACCGATTGCCTTCTGTGATAGGTCAGCAATTCAATGACACGGAAGCATGTCCTGGTGGGCCAAGACATGTCCACGATGCGGTCAGATTGAGGTCTGAGAACGAGGCCGGTGGAAGTACACCTCGATCAAGTCACCATCGCGGGCTATCGCCCAATCTAGAAAGACCTGCTCACTGTTTTGAACGGTCCCAGCCCTATGCTCTTTCGACTGATCAGCGATCCAGGGACTGCATGCATTAAGTCCGGGAGCGGTTGGGACGGCAATGTACCATGCCCGCTGTCTGTAGGCAGTATAGTACAACGCCAACCAACATGGCTTTGTTACGTCCGGCGCAAAGATATAAATCGTAGTTCATTGTGATGCCTCCTCGTCAACGAAAGCTGCACAGGTGAGAGTCCTGTTCTTCGAGCCGAAGACACCTAACAGATTTCTAAGTACTACGCAACGAAGAGCACGTGGTTGACATGTCTCGCTTCAGCCAGGTCTTTCCTCCTGCTCCCTCCTTCACAGAGAAGCAGCTCCCCGACCTCACTGGCAAGGTATGCTTCACTTAGACAACACAAAATCGTATCAACCCCCACCGAGGTTGCCCTTGTGACTACAGCGACTGCCTAGCTAACTGTTGATCAACATTAGGTCTACCTCATCACCGGAGCCACCTCTGGACTCGGCCAAGAGCTAGCAGGGCTGCTATACTCGCACAATGCCACCGTCTTCCTCGGTGCACGTTCCCAGGCGAAAGCCGACACCACCATATCGAGCCTCCAGGCCGCCCACCCGGCCTCCCACGGTCGTCTGGTCTCGGTGCTCATCGACTTTGCAGACCTGTCCACCGTCAAGTCTGGCGCGGCCGCGTTCCTGTCACACCCCGCCTCGGCCGGCAAGCTGCATGTGCTCTTCCACAACGCTGGCGTCCTGGCGCCACCGAAGGGCAGTGCGACCAAGGCGGGTCACGAGCTCGCCCTGGGCACACACGCCATCGGCCCGCAGCTCCTGACGAGGCTGCTGGAGAGCAGGCTGAAAGAGACGGCCGCGACGGAGGATAAGAATACGGTGAGGATAGTCTGGGTGGCAAGTACCGGCGCGACCCTGGCTCCGCAAGGGGGGATGGACGTGAAAAACTTGGCAGACCATGAAAAGGGGCCGATTGAGAAATATAACATCAGCAAGGCGGGCGCGATGTTCCTGTGCGGGCTGTGGGCAGAGCGTCTGAAAGCGAATGGAATCGTCAACATTGTGAGTGCGACATGAAGAGTACATGAGATTCAGGGGCCATCGAAACTGACCAAGAGACTACAGTCTCTCGATCCGGGAAATCTAAAGACAAACTTGCAACAGACCTTCAGCCAGGAGGTCAGCCGCATTGGCGGCCCTATTCTCCAGCTGTTCCTCCACCCTGCGATCAAGGGTGCTTACACGGAGCTCTTCGCGGGCTTCTCACCAGATGTGACTGTAGAGAAGGGCTGTGATCACTCACTCTGGGGTGAGACCCTTGTAGCCGAGCCATGCCACTGTCCCTGTCAATGCTAACAGAGTTCATAGTATTTCCGTGGGGCCGGCTTGTGAAGTTTCCCCGGCAAGATATCATTCAGGGGTTTTCGTCTGAGGCTAATGGAGGTACTGGGAATGCGCAGAAGTTCTGGGACTGGTGCGAGGTTCAGATCCAGAGTTATCTGTGAGACATGTGGTAGCTGTGTGACTTGAGCCTGACATGAAACGCTGTGTATGCGAAACATAGCTGCTGGCGAGTCGTGACCTGCTAAAGAACCTTAGCCGGTTGGAGATCGGTTGGATTGGATATCCCGACTCTTCTCAGAAGGACAGTTTAAATAATTGGACCAAGAAGTCAGAAGTATTGGAGAACCATCTAGGTACCATATTGTCAAGCCAGAGACCCATGATCTTATTTTGTGTTGCCGCAGCGGACTAGAATATTGATAATTTCTCACCCATCTCTGACCCTGCTCTGACCGTTGAGTGTACGACCTTGCTCGACAAGTGGTACAATTGAGAGTTGCACTATGTCGTTCAAGATACCTCAGAGTTTGGACTAGACCTGCCAAGGAGCACGAATAGTGGAGTAACACTTGCAATGCCAGCATTCATGGGATGACACACTCGAGATCTCGGCATCGTCTCTGGAAGTCTGGGCAGCATGGTCATACGCGTCACCGCATCTTGGGTGCCTGCGTCGCTTCGGATGCTGCAGCTGCCAAATGAGCTCGTGCTCCATACCACTCGGTATGAGCCTAGATTTAGTCGAGAGCTACAAGTTGACAATTGTAGAAGACGACTTTCTCGTAAGCTCATGAATGTAGTCAAACAAATACTTTGGCCAAGTATCCGGCGCCGCTTGTCCACCATGTAGGAAGTTGCCTACAAAAGTGACGTGGCGCCCTCACCTCAACATGTTCTTCTCCCGTGCATCATTTCCAAGAGGACACAGAAAGGCCGGTGGGAACGACACTTGACGGGTAGACTTGTGGAGCGTCACACACGGACCGCTGCTAAAATGCGATATATCTGGTTCATCAGATGCAGGTATGCGCATCCCGCTCGCAACTGATCTTCTCAGGCGATCTGTCAACCCCCTTAGTAGCAGCAGGGGATGCTGTCAATCCTGCAGATCAGATCTATTTAAATTCTGCGAAGAACCGCGTCGTAACAGTGACGCTGTACTACACACATTCTCTGCCGGCTGTAATGATGAGCAGGTACCCATTGAATAGCCAGGCAAGGAGAGGCAACTGAGTCTTCTGTTGTTATTGAGAGAATTTGAGCAATGTAGGGCCCCTTTCTATTTTGCGCGGGCCTGTAATTGTAGAACCTGTCATCCCTTTTTTGGGGATAGCTTCCCCCATTTTAGCCTGTTCTTCCTGAGCACCGGGCATAAGTGGTGTGTAAGCGCCTTAGCCTTCGATAAGAGAACCCTGGCTTGTTGCACGATGGAATGTGCTTGCGCGATGAGATGCTCCATTGAGCAGATGACGAACCCACCAAGAGGCTCCATCGTGAGAGATGAGCGCTCGGCTGCATGTGTATCCTCTTTGCAATTCTACTGGTGCGCGATATTTCGAAACAGACTGACTTACGCAGCAAGCAGGGAAGTACGCCGACCCTGTCAGATACCTAAGTAGGTAGGTCATAAATCACTTGTCCCGGGTTAATCTTTTCTTCTCCATGATTTCTGTCAAGGAGAGAAAACTTTAAGTGATGCACTCAGGTACGGAAAGAAGAGAGGAAGGAGTAAAGAGATACCGTAATTAGCAGGAGCGACGGGAGCTGTCTCGGTTGTTGAATCGTGCAAGCTCTGAAGGAAGCTGAGAAGGAACGATCTTCAATTAGATTCCGCTTGCGGAATGGAAGCGTACCTGACTGATTAGGCGAGTCATGGGCTGCCCGCCGGGACCTGAATTCTTGGCACGCCGCCGTTCAGGCGCCACGGCCGAATAAGTGCCTTTGTTAGTGGGGGTTCCGGCGTGCTTTGGGGGACCCTTTGGCATGTGCCGCCCATTGTGAGGAAAAAAACTAAAATGCATGTGTTGTAGCGGACTGCAGTGTACCGGGAGCACCGCCACCACATCAGTGTCTGGAAAAGACGCGAGCCGCGTTCGATGTGCAGTTGCCGTCTGGGTACAGTGGCCGGGACAAGAGCGGACGTCGACGACTCGAAACAGCTGGCCTTGGCCTGGGGCTCTGTGGATGACCGTTTGCGGTGTTGCGTTGCATCACGGGCGAATTATCCATGGACCGGTTCTGTGCTGTGCTGTGCTACGATTACGAGTCCCTACTATGGGTGTATGCAGAGTGTGAAGAGGAGACGACAAGGGAGCCACTATACGGCAGCACATCTACATGTATGTATCTGCAAGGTAAGGTAAGCAGCGTACCTACTGTACGTAGCTGTGGATGGGGATGGTTCATGGATATGCGTGCGCGGCTGTTTGGCTTACTGTAGTATTCGTCTGAAAAGCCAGCCAGTCTCCGGGCAATCCGAGACGCAGCGTCCGATCGCCCTATCAAGATGAAACGAAAATCTTGGGCAAATACATAGGTACTGCATAGTAAGCTTTGCACCCAAACAGGCCAGCATCGGCGCTGAAGGATGCAGCTTAAGCAAGGCTTGGCCATCCTCAAAAGGCACAGCACTGCACAATACAGCACACAAAATACAAAACACAACCCCAGGTCAGACCACTTGCTGGCCACGGTCAAACGATTCTTAGCCGGTGGAGTGCCCATTTTAGAGCTAGAGGACGTACGTCATTGAGCAGTAGCACCAGCGGGATGGCGCATTGTTAGTAGCGCAGCACTGAGTGGACTCGTAATTACTCCCAGGGCCTGGCATTCCATGCGATAACAAGAGACCAGACAGATGAAACACTGCCGTTTTGGGAAGCTGTCGTCATTCAAACTGGCTCTGATACAGGATACATACACATGGTAATTAATACTATGTAGAGGGAGAAAACCCTAGAGCAAAGCCATGCTGGCAGTAGTACCTAGTTACGGTAGTTATTTGTTTGTTTGAATTACTCGCCCCGGCCATCGGAAGGGAGGCACGCTCCAATGAATATCTGCGGAGCCTCCTCTCTTTGCCTTGCTTTGGGCTATTTCCCTTCTATCTAGCTATCTAGCTATCTAGTTATCTAGCTGGTGCTCTCCTCCCTCGACAACTTCTCCTCGTACACGGACGGTGGCCATCCCGTCCGCCCGCCCGTCGGGTACTCCCTGCCAAAAACCCTTCATCTCGCCGAGTCTACTTGTTAGGTAGGCTCGAGGTAGACTAACTCACCACCGGACTCTTGAAGATCACGGCGACAGCCCGTTTGCAAGACTTTACCTTGCAGTAGTCGCCTCCCTTAGCTAAGATTCCTGTGTTTGTCAGTGGAGCCTGTCATTATACTTTGCCCCGGTCCCCTGCGCGGCCTCAGCTTCGGTGACTGCGCGTTTGCAGCCCTCTCAAAGTTAACATCCCCGGCGGCCTCGTGTCTTGGATTACGAACACGCCTGCTTGGGACGCTAAGAACACGCAAAACCCTCCCATCCCATCCCATCTCATCTTTGTTCTGCAGTCAATACCATCCTTCTTCTTTCTCAAACGGACGAACAACCCAAACGTTCTCTTTTCGGGCCCTCGCTACCAGAGTCGCGGCTGCTGGGACGGAGCATCACGACACATCGCATTGCATCGTATCGCATCTGATCTGATCTCTCTCTCTCTCTCTCTCTCTCGGGAAATCCCTGGGTGAGGCAGTCTTGGCACTGATCACCGTTCGGGAGCTCACAGCGCCTGCCCACGCCTGCACACACCTGCACACACCTGCACCTTGCCTGCATCACGCCTGCAACCGACTGGGCTGGAAATACATCTGGCGCTGTGTGATCTTCAGCCCCAGCCATTTTACCCGTGCCTATCCAAATCAAAAGGCAGGCCCCGGCGCTCGTCTTGGGCCCCGTTTCCTCCCACTCTCGCCAAGACCTTGAAACCTCTAGAAAACTAGCCCCTGCTCCCTCGTCCTCTTCCACACCAATCCACTGCAGTAACGGTAGAGTACACCTTTTAACCAGTACTCACATCCTCCGCGACCTCCGCGACCTCCGCACGCCCACAGTACGACTTCATTCAATTCATTGTCTATCTCGACAGACATTTCCTTCCTTTCTCTGCTTCTTGTATCATCAGACTGTTTATCTTTCAGCTCTTGACAGCCAGTCTGTGTTGTAATCACGCCTCTTCGATTTCCTAGACGCCCAGCGAGACCTTCTCAGCGGCCCCCACGTTCGAAGCTGTTGAAAAGCGGCCTAGCGACTTTAGGGGTGAACTTGGACGAAGCTCTTCACCTTCATCATCGCAACCCCCTTTTTCGACATCATCTTCTGCACGGCCCTAGCCGGCAACCGCTTGGGCGGCTACGTTAATATACTCCCAAATAACGACTTTTCGATGTCAAGATAGCCGTTATCGAACCCTGGTTCCGGTCGAACCATCCTCCCGCAAGATGCTCACCTTCAAGCGTGCCTTGATCGCTGCGGCGCTCTTCCTCACACTATTCTATCTTACAACGCGGTCACATCCTCAAGCACCACAACCCGACCCGATTACTCCTGCTGCTCCAGTTCCTATGAGCAATAATCAACCCGAAAAACCTCACACGCCCAACGAGATTCCCGATACCGCGAAAGTAGCGTCGACGACCGCCCCGGCTGCCGACGCCAATGTTAACGGACAAGGCAGCCCCAAAAAGCACAACAGTCGGCCGAAAGAGCAGAAGACATTGGTGGACATGTCCAAGCTGACACTCTACGAGAAGCTGGCCTATCAATACCCATACGACGTCGAGACAAAGTTCCCGGCGTACATCTGGCAGACCTGGAAGTGGACGCCGGCCAACGCTGAGTTTACGTTCAGGGAGCAGGAGGCAACATGGACAGAACAGCATCCCGGCTTTATTCATGAAGTTATCACTGATGCTGTGGCAAGCCAAATGATTAGGCTGCTATATGCATCAGTCCCCGAGGTTCTCGAAGCATACAAGGCTTTGCCCTTGCCAGTGCTGAAGGCTGACTTCTTCCGTTACCTAATCCTACTTGCCCGTGGAGGCATCTATTCTGATATCGACACATATGCTATTCGCAGTGCGACGGAGTGGATTCCCGAGAGCGTGCCTCACGAGGCTGTGGGGCTGGTGATTGGAATTGAGGCGGATCCCGACCGCCCTGATTGGAAAGATTGGTACAGTCGGCGGATCCAGTTCTGCCAGTGGACAATTCAGGCGAAGCCTGGCCATCCAGTTCTACGCGAAGTCGTTGCTCGAATCACCCGCTCGGCTCTTAAGAGGAAGCGTGCGGGGCTTCTGGACGGCTTCGTTGATAAGAACGTAATAGAATTCACCGGGCCAGCTGTTTGGACGGATGTTATCTTTGAGTACTTCAACGACGAAAGATACTTCGATATGAGTCTCAGCCCCGGGGCTATCGACTGGAGAAACTTTACCGGAATGGAAGTCGCAAAGAGGGTCGGTGATGTGATTGTGCTACCAATCACGTCCTTCTCTCCTGGCGTCCAACAGATGGGTGCGAAGGATTATGATGACCCGATGGCGTTTGTGAAACACGACTTTGAAGGTAAGCTCCGTCGACAAATCTAGCAATTTGTGGTTGTGCCAAGCTAACACCCGACAACTAGGCACCTGGAAACCGGAAAGCGAGCGCCACATCGGCGAGACCAACGGCTGAGAGACTCAACCCAGAACTATTCTTGACACTTTCTTCACAACACCCTTTGCAAAAGTCCGCATGCGGCCGGCGTCTATCGGATTTTGATTCACATCAATTTTGATTTGGAAGCAAGCTATACAACTGATGCATGGTCGTACACCCAGCGTTCGGACGGAATAGAGTCATAAAAAGGAAACTTGTTCTTCATACATAGGGGATGCCCCCCAAGTTACGACGGCAGATAGCTGGCGACTCTTCGAGAACGCGTGCAATCTGTACCGAGATGAGAGATGATATGAAGGCAACGAGATTGCAAAACTCACAGGGCCAATAGAGGCTGTTTCAGAAGAAGCAGCCGCCTGGGAAAGCTGTGGGAAACGCAACAGCTGATGTAGGCATGATTTATCTGCCTCACAATTCTTGTACATACATGGCGAAATCATCGCACCTCTTGCTCACTATGGAGGATGCATGCCGCAAATACTTGTAAATTATCAATATATGGGCTACTTGCCATCAGAGCAACATCCTGCGCTCGCTAGTGACCATGATGACGAAGTTCACAGCCAACTTGCGAATGTTTAAGGTCCGTGGCCGCCCAACTGGCCTAGGGAGACCCCTATCTTACGTCAGCTCAGATCTCTGGCCGATCTCCCTAACCGCCGCACCCTCCCCGCAGGCCACGCCTCGGGACGTTCAAGCTGAAGAGCAGCGCTAAACCCCCCCGCACTTTCAGACGGGGGTCTGCTGAGGGGGAATGGGGGCGATGCATTACCCTTTTCGTCCTAGGTAGCTACAGACATCATACCTCCACTTTCTCCAAGAACCTGATCATGATGCTTTTGTGTCTTGTTGCATATCTGGTAATGTCAAGAAGCTGCTGATCAAGTTGGCTGGACACGAGTGAACGCGAGGACTATGAATGAAGGCGGCGCTGCCAACTTACTAGGGTTAAGACAGTGACGATGCGTCCGACTTACAGCTTGTGTTGGTTGTCCTTGCGCCCTCGGACAAGATCTCTGGCTGGACTTGGTCGATTATGGCTCAGGCGAGGTGCTGGTGGTCAGCTGCGAAGGAATGGACTGCATGTTAGGGGCATTGGAGGACTTACGCTGAGTCTGACGGAGGGACCTAGTGATGTAAGTTCTCCCTCCTGAATCCTTTCAAATTACTTCGTCCTTTGGTATAAACACTTCGCAACCCCGTGATAGAGGGACATGGTATTTGACAATAATTCCCGAGATGTAAAAATGAATACACAAAGAAGACATCCCGAAGACGGTTTCTTACAATCTTGAACACTCGATGCCTGAAATGGCTTTTTAGCAGTCTGGCACAATAATTTGCTGTTATTATATAGGAGTTGGCAGTCATGCGCTAATCACTCGTACAGCCTCCTCTTCTTCCACACACGGTACCAGAGCATTTCGCATCTATCGTATCAAAGTATGGAGACCAACCAGCAGTCATATCCCGATCGCCAACAACAATTGCATCATCCTTTCCCGAGCCCCTGGGCTCGCCGGTCCCCACGGCTCAGGAGACCATCTTGACCTATGAGGCGCTGGATACTGCCTCGAACTCTCTTGCTCATTCGCTGAGGTCACTTGGTGTCAAGAAAGGCGACAGAGTTGCTGTCAGTCTCGGAAACTGCGCCGAGTATGCGGCTCTGACATACGCCATCTTCAAACTGGGAGCCATCCTGGTGCCGCTGAATCCAGCTTTCAACGCGAAGCAGGTGGCGGCCGCCCTCAAGCATCTCGATGTGGAACTCCTCATCATAGGTGCTGTCACGGATCTGGCTTACAAGCCCTGCCGCGGGCGCAGCAACCTACCGCTGCTCGAGACTCTTGTGCCTGATCTCAAGTCGGGGCGCGTAGAGTCGCAAGACGTACCTAGCCTTAGGACAGTCGTCGTACTGGATAACAGTCCCTCTCATCCGCTGGTGTCCTTTCCCCTGTCCTCTTTGAAGTCCCTGACATCTTACTCTACACTAGTAGAGTCGGCAGCGTCAAAGTTTAGCTCGTCACGCAGCGTCTCGCCGGACTCGCCCCTGGAGCCGACCGAGACGATCAACATTCAGTTCACATCGGGCACAACATCGCACCCCAAGGCTGCAATGCTGTCACACACCAGCATCCTCAACAACGGGGCGCTGATCGCCGCGCGAATGGGTTTGGTCCCCGACGATCGAATCGTCTGTCCGCCGCCACTATTCCACTGCTTCGGCTGCATCCTGGGCTACATGGCGACCGCGACCACCGGCGCCGCCATCCTGTTCCCAAGCCCGGCGTTTGACCCTGTCGCAAACCTGCGCATGGTGGCGGATCACCGCGCGACAGGTCTCTACGGCGTGGCCACCATGTTCGTGGCCATGCTGGAGCTGCTCTCCGGCGAGCACGCGCCCGTGCCGGCGGACGTGGTCGCGCGCTTCCCGGACCACCTGCGCAAGGGCATCGCGGCGGGCAGCTCCGTGCCCGAGAGCCTGATGCGGCGGCTGTACGGGACGCTCGGCCTCAGGGACCTCGTCATCTGCTACGGGATGACGGAGACCAGCCCCGTCAGCTGCATGACGGCGCCGTCGGACCCCTTTGAGAAGCGCACGTCCAGCGTCGGGCGGGTGATGCCGCACACGCTGGTGAAGGTCGTCGACCCGCTCGATCGCGATCGGGTCCTGCCCGTTGGGCAGAGAGGCGAGCTCGCGGCCAGCGGGTATCTCGTCATGCAGGGCTACTGGGGCGACGAGGAGAAGACCAGGGAGGTGCGCATCCTGGAGCCGGACAACGACCAGGGGCGGCGGGAGCTGGAGATGAACGACGAGCCGGACTATGGCGAGCCGGCGGTCGAGACGAACGGCGAGGTGAGCGACATGGGCTTTGAGGAGCACCGTGTGTGGGTGTACAGCGGCGATGAGGCGAGCATGGATGCGGATGGATATATTGAGATCACGGGCCGCATCAAGGACCTGATTATCAGGGGTGGCGAGAACATCCACCCCTTGGAGATTGAGAACTGTTTATTCCAGCATCCGCTCGTTGCGGAGGTCAGTGTCGTGGGTGTGCCGGATGACAAGTATGGAGAGAGCGTGGGCGCCTTTGTCATTCCGTATAAGGGGGTGAAGACGATGGATGTGGCGAGTGGGAGGCAGGGGGAAGGAGCCAAGATACTTACGAAGGAGGACGTAAGGCAGTGGGTTCGAGAGCATCTCTCGTCGCATTTGGTGCCGAAGCACGTCTTTTGGATAGATGAGTATCCGAAGACATCAAGCGGCAAGATTCAAAAGTTCAAGCTGAGAGATACAGCAAACGAGCTGCTCAAGGGATCACCGGCATGAGACTAGCATCGCATTGATTCAGTAGCATATTAGTGAAAGCATACCTTAAATCTTCGTTTACCAGAGCTTGTTATGTGTGTAAGACGAGCCCTCTCAAACAATAATACAGTCCTATATGCGATAGGCCTGTGAGAGGTTCAGCTCGGGTGGCAACTGAGTCGGCTCACTTCACTACCTCCAGCCGTCGTAACGGTCTCGCCGACCGGTATCTAACACACTGATGACAGTCCAGCTTAGCCTTGGAGGTCTCGCCTATACCGCCAAATAGTGCTAACATACTCATGCCGCGAGAGCTGTCTCCCCGCATTTTCAGCCGTGGCTTACTTCGCCGGGGTTGGAGATTGACGTTGATTCGTCTGGCTGGAACTTGACCAACAGCAATGATACGCGGCTCAGCCCCACTGAGGAAAGTTCTGACAACAGGCTTCTGGTATTACCCGTGACTCTATATCATGATCATAGGCTACCTGCTGTGGCGCGTTGGTGGAGGCTCGTGTTTTCTGGGCTGTTGTGGCATTGTCGTCACTTGATTCTTAACATCCGGAGGCCAGGCTCCCTTACGAGTGGAACATTTTATTTTTAGGTCTTAAGTGACCACTCTAGGATGGCCTGGGCCAATTCGTACGGGTCTGGGGTCTCACGATGTATAATTCTGGACACAAGTCTTTTCGTACTGTGGATGATATTCTATATAATGCTGCAGATGCTCCGTCTTCTTGACTATAACTCGACTCGTAGTGTCAACTGCACACCGTAACACCTTCCAGTATACTTACCTCCTTCCTTATAGAGCCGTTTATTCTTCATCATTATGAAGTTCCTTGCTACCATCCTTTCTCTTACTGCCGTTGCTTCTGCAGCTCCGGCTGAGAAGGCTGCTCGCGGCTGCACTCCAGCAACTTACGAGTGTAGCCACAACCCAACCACTAGCTATCCTGGCTGGAGCATTTGCGATGTCAGTGGGGTCTGGCAGGTAAGTCAAAGTTTGAGATCCATCAGAAACAATCAGCTTATCATCATTAGTATGGCGGTGATTGCCCACCTAACACTCATTGCGAGTTTAATTACGCCAACAACAGCCCATACTGCCTTCCCAACTGACCAATTTCGACGAGCAATGGTACAAGTCGTATTGGAATTGTTGAGAATGGTCTAGCATCAACGGATACTTGGAACCTTAAAGGCCGGTTCATTATCTTGGAGTTCTGGTTGCAATTTATATTGTTTCTTTACGGTCCTTCATCTGGTTGCATATAAGGTGGCATTGCAACTGACCTTCTCTTATCACACTTAGCATTCACTCCATCGTCATTTGCCCAAGATAGTTCATAGTAGACAACACTTCAGGCTCTCGAATGCGTAATCATTTGTCATCTTTATATGGTGCTCTTCTCTTATGGTTTATTCAAGCCGTCGTAACAGCCGTCAGTGCACATGGCGCGCCGTTCAAAAAGTCATGGCAAGGACAGGAGAAATGAACCGTCACAACAGTGCGTTTCGTGAGAATGGCTCACCCTAAACCACCCGCTTCCAGTAATAATAGCCTTGTATTGAGTTCGTACTCAATCATAGCTCGGAATTATTCCTGTTGAGTTATTACAGCTCCATTTGACAGCGGTACTAGTCGCGGAATTTGGCAGCTTCATTAGCCTTTCATAAAATCGGCCTTCCTTCTCCAGGAAACCCGACAGCAACCCCAAACTGCTATTAGGCAAAGGAAATTTTGAATTGAATGTCATTTGAAGTCTTTGACGCCTGAGAGTTGAACATACTCAAGTTCGGGAAGTTCAGTGCAATTCACTTGTCAAGCACTTACATGCATCCCGAAGGGATCCACAGCCCTGGAGTTACAGGGGTTAGCAGTTTCAATGCCGATTGGCGTGAAGTGACGTCAAATTTGGCGCTGGGTCGTATCGCTTATCGGGAAATTTTCGAGCTCCGGCTTCGTCCTCCATCGCATCACCATCTGTGGTCAGAAGGCCAATTGCCGTGCATTTTCTACCGACAATGTCCTCGTTTCTTACCCGCGCGGCGGAGAACTCCAAAGTTCAGTTCGCTGCGACCGCTGTGGTCTCCGGCGCCATCGTTGCCGCGGGTATCCTAGGCTACCAGCGGCTGGCGCAAGAGGAGAGGGTATCGAGGTTGAAGCACTCGATACCGGAGCCTGGCGACGATCACCCGCTCCAGAAGGTATTTGTTGGACAATCAATACGTATCTATGAGACTCTTCACACTGACTTACCGGTCTAGCTAACCAGCCTCGGCACCATCCCTGCCCCCGACAAGGAAGACCTACGAAATGCCGCCCTCGCGCGTCGTGCGCAAGCCGGAGACTTCGATGATGAGCTCATACTTGAGCAATTGGCCCGGAACCGCGTATTCCTCGGACCCGAGGGCTTAGAGAAACTGCGCAATTCGTTCGTGGTTGTCGTCGGGTGCGGCGGTGTCGGAAGCCATTGCACAGCGGCCCTTGCGCGATCCGGTGTGTCAAAGATACGGCTGGTCGATTTCGATCAGGTTACACTTAGCAGCCTGAACCGGCATGCCGTGGCGACCTTGGCAGACGTCGGTATTCCCAAGGTGCAGTGCCTTCATCGTCGTCTGATTGCAATCGCGCCGTGGGTCAAGTTCGACCTGCGCCTGGAGAAGTTCGACGCCAAGAGCGCGGCGGCGCTGCTTGCGCCATGGGCGGAGAACGGGCAGAAGCCGGACTATGTGGTGGATGCGATTGACAATATCGACACGAAGGTGGCGCTGCTTAAATACTGCTATGACGAGAAGATTCCCGTGATCTCCGCCATGGGCGCCGGGACAAAGAGCGACCCGACGAGGATAGTCGTGGGTGACATCGGGACCAGCACAGATGACCGCTTATCGAGGGCGACCCGGAGACGGTTGAAGCTCCTTGGAGTCACAAGCGGCATTCCGATTGTCTTTTCCACCGAGAAGACTGGGGAAGGCAAGGCTCAGCTGCTGCCACTGCCCGAGGAAGAGGTACATAAAGGTTCTGTTGGTGATCTGGGCGTTTTGCCCGATTTCCGTGTGCGGATATTGCCAGTCCTCGGCACGATGCCGGCAGTCTTTGGTTACACGGCTGCAAACCACATCATTCTTAGTATCACTGGTATGTTGCAACATTGTGCGCTAATTTGCCTACTTCACTAACATGTCGTACAGGATATCCTCACGACTACGTCCCAGCTAAAGGATCACACAAATTGTATGATAGTGTTCACGCAGCACTACAGGCGCTCGAGGAGAAGCTGGTCCGAACGACAGAACCGGGGCCCACTGATCTCGCTCTTGGCTTGAAGATTCCCTTGACAATTGGCGACCTGGCATTCCTGGTCGAAGAGATCTACAGAGCTCGTAGTGCCATCACCGGAGTTCCAACACGTTTGGTGCTTGTAAGATGGAGAAAACCAGAGGGCAGCACTATGATCAAGATTGGCGAGGGCATAGACCAGCAAAGATCATCAAACGTCAGGATGCAGGATCTAGTATGCATGACCAAAGAAGAGGCAGCCGTGCACGACAAGGAGGTGTACAAGGGTGGCAAGGCCCCCGAGGACCTTTATGATGCGGAGACCGTCAAGCGTGTTGAGGCCCGTCTAGAAGAGATTGCGGAGTACGAGAAGCTGAGGTGACAATCTCCATGCTGCTCTGGATTAAAGGCTGTTCCACGCTTGGACGTGGTTTGAATACGTTAATCTCAAGATGTGAGATCCATTATAAGGATGGTTGTTGCAAGCATGTGGCGTGTGGCTTTGCGTGCTCTCTAGCGAGCAGAAGCATTGTATCATATTGAGGCGATCATCTGCATTACCGGGCGCCATTGTATACAAATGTACATATGGAAAATATCACACGACTTTGTTTTAGAGGAGGCTCAACATAGATATAGTAGTTTTAGAACTACAAAGATAGTCCTCCATAATCATATGAGATGATTCGTATGTTGGGCTTCAGCTACTTAATATCGGTGTTGCATATACAATTTGACATTTAAGCATCGAGAATCTGGAAATGTGCATCTTTTGAGTCCTTACCATTGATAGGCAGAACATCATTCGGACAAGCACTAAAGGCAATGATTAAATCCATCTCAGCCCTGAAAGTAATATACTGCCCAGCCCTGGTCGTCGGCGGATCCCAGGAGAGCAAGTTGCCATCTTTGACTGGTATATTCATGAAGACGTTGAATGGACTCGGGGAATATTCGTCGCCCTCTTCTCCCAAGGCTATCAAAGCATCTCGCAGGTTGTCCGTGCAATTGTCGTGATACTCTTGCAACGAAAATTCCTTGGTGTAGCGGTGGATGTCGCAGGCTGACATCAACGTGTCATGGTTCCCGGGTGTTGTGTCTTCTACAACTGTGAGGATCGGAGACCGTCTGTTGGTGACAAACGAGTCGTTCACCGCAGGGAGGATCTTGTTGAGGCATGCGCGGGTATGTTCCATTGACATTCTTTCCCTTATATTGTGAGCGTTGAATGCCCATGTATCGACAACTTGAGAACCCGATGTATTGATGAGCCGTATTAGTTGGCCTTTGCTAACTCGAGCCGCTTTCCCTTTTCTTGCCGGTATGACTTGCAGGTTGGTATCGAGTGCTTGAGCCATACTGAATGATATCGGGAGTGACTTATCGGTTGAACTGTATTCTGAGGAACGACTTGGTTGCTCGAATAGAGCTATGTCGGATAATAATAATAATAATAGACAAGAAAACACATAGGCGGGTTAGACAACCAATGATACTCTCAATGTGGCAATCATTCCTCTTAACCCCAACTTAAAAAAGAAGTTGTAGAGTTCAAAGGTGAATGCTTTGAGTCGAAGAAGGGAGTGTGGGGTAAGGATCCTAACCCCCAGAGGCGGCCGTGGCCGAATACAGTCAATTGAGAAGGGCCGTATCGGCGGTGGCGCCTTATCGGCCGGGAAGGTTCTCAACGCCGGCACCGGGTAACACTTTCTTCTCCTTGCCTAGCTTTCTTCTGTCTAGATGCTCATGATGGAAGTAGAGAATATTTACCTGCTCTAGATTGTTATGATAGAAGTTAGACATATCTTATCGTGGAACAAATTGTCAAGTCCTTGGTGATGTTTCGCTTGTCGTGCCTCCCACAGTTTTGCATGTGGAAAGGCAGCTGCTGCGGAATCGAGGCCCTCGAGATAGGCATCGAAGAGACTGTTGTATCTGCCCGGGATCGGTCTTAGTTACTGTGTTGTATTACGCTGCATGCAAGTCGAATACACCCAATTAGTGCCCTGCTGTACCTCATTACAAACCAGAAAGTGTGCATAAATGCTAGGAACGAAGCATTACACAAGAGCTCTCTCAAGGCCGCCCATTGAAGGAATCCTTTGGTACGGGATCCTTATCCTTAGTGCGGCTCGCTAAAGTGGTGTCACCAAATCAACAGCTCGCGCCGACCTCCTCCACGTGCGGCCTAGCACGCAAAAATCTTGGCTATCTGGGACCTCCCCAAATTAGTGTAAGGGGGGAAAGTGGGCAGCACCCGGCCCGGGATGACAAGTGAGACAGCCCCCTAATTCTTGCTGGTCCGGTCCGTGGTACTGGGAAACGAGTCTCAACTCCACGACTGTACGACCCGGACGGCATCGTCATCAGCAGCAAGCACCCGCGCGCCCAAAATGATGTACGCCGCCGCCGACGCCTCTCACCGGGCAGACGACACATGGACTCGCATCGTCTGGTACGCCCGCAGGCGGCCCTACATCGCCGTCGCCGCCGTTTTATCTTCCCTCACCGTGCTGGGACTCTTCATATCGCCCGGCTGGGGCTCCTATGACCAGCTACCGGAAGACGGCGCCGACGCTGGCTCAAAGACGAACATTAGCCCTTACGTCCCGCCACAGCTTGGCGATGCGACGACCACAATCATTCCCGCCGATGACAACGGCATCCTCTTATCATCGGGGAATGCCTCGACCACCACCTTCACCTCGCCAAACCGCGCTTACACCCTGAAACTGCGACCGGATGGCGATCTTGTCCTCACACACAACGATGATGCTGGATCGCACCCGATATGGTCGACTGGGACAGGAGACAACCACGCCAAGGGTGGACACAAGGTTGCCTTCACGACTGATTCGGAGGGTCATACGCGGATGGAGCTGAGAAGGAAGAAGAAAGACGAGGACTGGAGGGTTGTGTGGCACAGCGATCTCGACCCCCTGTGCAAGAAAACGGGCGTCGGCGAGGACGGACTGCATCATAAGGGATCGCACGATGCCCAGTCGACGCGCCAATTCGTTCTATCAGACAACGGCACGCTGCGCATCGCCGGCCTCTGCAACTTATACACGCCGCCGAGCCAACAAAGCAAGCAGCGCAGCCTGGCTGTGCTCGTTTCGGGCCTGTACCGCACCAACAATGTGACGTGCTACACGCAGGTGAAGAACCTGATCGAGGCCCATCCCAGCTTTGCGCGTGTAGATGTCTTTGCGCGCATCCTGTATGAGGAGAAGGACCTGACTGAGCTTAACCGCACGGCCGAGTCTATCGAAGCGGACGTCAAGGACTGCTACGGCAAGTTCCTCAAGACCGTCACGGTCATTGCAGCTGCCGATGCCGAAGAGGACTACCCCGGCGGTAGCGAGGCGATGTTACAGCCTTGCGGCGATAAGCTTCGCCGACTCAACAACCAATTGAAGACGATTGATATCGCCGCCCGTGACTGGTGGGCGTGGACAGTTAAGCAGGGCTTCAAGTACGACACCGTGCTGCGAATTCGCCCAGATACACTCTTCCACGGCAAGGACAAGCCAAAGTTCCTGAGCCTTGAGGATCTGGGCAACTCTCTAATCCTGCCTCACCCGAAGAATGAGCATTATTTCTATTGCCCGCGCATGAGTGGCGCAGTTGGCGTCGGTGAGTAGTCACCCCTTAAACATCCATCCACTGCTTTTCGTCGAAAGCAACGCGCTAACGCTCCATCACAGGCACAACCGACCAGCTCGCCTACGGAACTCCCGCAGCTATGTTCAGCTGGCTGCACATGTATCGGGATTTCCCTCAGATGGTCGACCTGGCTGCGAATCCGGATCGCCCAGCCCATCGCGACTTCTCTGGGTGTGAGGATCTCCCATCTGGCCCCGAAGCCAAGGACTGCCCGCGAAAAGCCCCGTGCTCTATCGAGTGTATGGTGCCGTGGTATCTCGAGTCTCGGGGTATCAACTTCAGTCCCGAATGGGGCTGGAATCAGCATCTTCTCCGGATGAGGGATATCCTCACCGATCCGGATGCTAAGAAAGCCGGCGAGGATAGGGCGATGGAACGGAAAAAGAAGGAAAACGGAGGCAAATAAAACAGATGCACCTCCTCGTGCGTCTTGGTAAGAGGATGCTCAGGGGATGGCTGGCTTCAAATATGGTCGTCAAGACTTATGGGTGCGGTAGCGCCCGTCAGTCGACCGCCCTAGCCTCCAATGCTCCCAAGGGAATGCCATCTATATGGCAGTCACGCCCAATTGGAGCTCCCTGGTTTCACTAGGATCAGCCTGATATGAAGGAATCATCAAAGAGTTAAACCGAAGTGGTCCGAGTCGAATGGTTTCACGGATTTCTGTTGAATTCGCATGCATCTATGCGCGGCCACGTGAGCCCTGTAATAATTAAATGGACGGAGTTAACATAGGTGGAGGGCTTCCTACATTTTGTACATTTCATAAAGTGTTAGCTACACTGAAGTGAGCGTGTTGGTATTGGCATGAAGCCTAGGAGAGGTTGATAGATGACCTCACGGCTTTCGGTATTATTTTCTGTTAGCTAGGTGAAGAAGAAATAACTTTCCAGTAAGATAAGGAATGTTAAGATGCGTACGTCTGAACCTTAAGAATTTGCAGAAACTGTTGCCTACTGATACTTGAGAACTTTCTTTCTTGGTCCAAAGCAAATGTTTCCATGGATTTCATTTGAGCAATCCCATGTAGTCAACAGCTTCGTTCGGTCATGGAGGCGGAATTTGGGTGCCCCTGGCTCCTTTATGTCCTCAATTTGGTGATTGGTTGCACAAAATTTCCAGCACTGGGGCCCTGGAAACCTCAAACTTATTCGTTGGTCACTCTAAACGAGACACGATGACACCGGAATCACAAGCTACAACAAAGGGACTGTCTGCAAAGTTCATTTATTTGAGCTACTACCGACGATGAAGGTCCTAGACCAAGTCTTTAGTCATTAACCCCCAAGACATCACGCATTTCCAGATGCAGTGAGCAATTGCCTTAATTCAAAGCCTTGTCAAACTTCATGCCCACACCTTCACAGATTGTGCCTTTGTTGAACCACTTAACTGTGGGCAACAGTTCAGCCGTCACCCATCTCGCAGTGGTGGTGTGCCCGCTGCCTTCTCCAAATGGCTGATGTGTCTTATCCTTCCTCAGCCTCTCTTTCCTCTCTGTGAGGCCCAACTCCGCCATAGCATCTTCCACCTCGGCAACAATGCTCGATGCTGAGGAAGTTTGAGGACTGCCTTCTGGAATCTCGCTTCTCGGAAAGCTTGTCTTGCCATCTGCCAAAGCTTGGAAAACCACTAATTGATCCTGAAGAAACTCATCAACGACGCCACCGGTACTCAGCTCCTCGTACAGCTCCTTGCACACCTGCCGCGAGATGCTATCGCTCAGCATGCTCTTACTCTTTCCCTTTCGCTGCGCAGCGTACAGGAGATCACGGCCCCACCGTAGAGTCTCGGACCTCGCCACGAGGAGCACGTACATCCGAGCGTCGTTTCTGCTGTCATCTATCACCTTGAAGTTGATCTCCGCATCCGGGAACAGCATCTCCAGATCCTTAGCGAGGGCACGCGTCAGGAGCTCGTGCATGTCTGCAGGGACGACAATCGACACGTCGATGGCCTTGACCTCGAAGTCCTTAGCGTTCGGGTCGGTCCTTGACGGCTCCTTCAGTCGTAATTGCTCGCCGATCTTGAGTGGCTGGATCCTGAAGTGGATGTTCCCGCGGGACATAGAGCCCAAGCTCCATCCTCGCTGCTTGAGCTGGCGCTCCACCTTGATGCCGAAGCGGTCCTCGAGTGTAGGGAGGAGAACTTGGTCAAGGTACTCGTATGATAGGGACCATGAGACATTGGTGCCACCTGAGATCTCAAGGTCGATGGGCTGGTTCTTCTCATCTCCGGCAAAGAGTAGAAGGGGAAAAACAGCTTGGAAGATGAGTAGTGCGCTTGCAGCAGGTGAGTCTGCCACAATCTTGATTTTCCTCTCAACGAGCTGGCTGGGGCCGCAACTCGGTCGGAACTCCAAGGTCTGACTTCCGATGGAAAGGCCCTCAACCTCTGCACCTGTCGCTTTGGCTAGCCAGTCGATGGCTGTGAAATGTTGTGACTTCAAGCCTGTGATCAGGCATGAGCTCACCCCCCTGTCATCTGCCTGGGGTGAGATAACTTACCACCTCCCCTCTGTCCTTCTCGGTTACCTCTGATGTGGGTGATGCGGATAGGTTGCGACGTGACAGACGCGAGCGTGACTGCAAGCCTCACAAGCTGACCACCGCCCTCACCCGTCCTCCCGTCGAGCTCGGTGGGTTTGGGAGCCTTCATATTGTCTTCTTTGTCTTTTTTTGTTTTGTTTCACGGATAGTATTCACAGGATGAAATGCCTGAGATTTGTAAGGGCAGTGAAACAGGATAAAGGTTTTGAAGACTGGCTTTGTGAGATGTAGTTTGTTTGTGGTGGTGAGAAAACACGTATATGACGACAATTGTTTGGATAGGAGTGAGATGCTTTATCAAAACTGTGAGAGGGCTGAGTCGGAGCCGAGTGAGTCACTCGGTCACCGTTGCTAGGTTTCGGAAAGCCGTACAAACGAGTTAAATCCTCATCAAATACTAAAATGCAATCATTACAGGGGGAAGTTTAATGCAGGACCAGCTGCATGTGCAAATAGGAATGAATTCTATGTTTGATCTCAAAGTGAGATTCACATTCTATGTTGGTTTTGCGCAAGGCTGTTGCACTGCAAGGCTGACAGGCGCTAAATCACTTAGCGCCTGTGGACCATAACATCCAATAATTATTGTCTGTTTGTCAACCGACCCCTGAAATTGTTATGGCTGGTGTTGTTGACATGGCTGCATTACCACGATTGATTGAGGAGTAGATGCAGCTTTCAGGGTTTATCTGTTCCTAGTATTTCGACCTTGGGTATATATTCTATGTGTCAAATGCCATACCTTCAACCAGCCTCCTTTGGCGTTGCGTCTGTTTTCACAGCTCTCAGGGTCTTGGAAAAAACCAGCAATGGGATGTTATTCGAAAGTGTATCGCAACTTCTTTCCAAGCTGCCGTCCGGTATACTATTTTCTTGAAATGTTGATACCAGATAGTAAAGCATGTACGAGCAAAGTATCTCCTGAAGAGGCGCCTCCTACCAGCCGCATTAGAAAGGTCGGCCTTGTATCACAAAAGCAGCTGTTCCAGCTTTCAATGCTGAAATGCCTTCCTTAAGAGATCCAGCATGCCAGGGAGTTGTGGCTACATTCAAGGTTACGTAGCCTTGTAGGGGTCTGGTGGCTGTCCCTGATGACAGGAGATTGTCTTAGCGAGAGGATCAATGTAGGCTTGATATGCCCATCACTCATGACAAACCCCCATCATAGTCCAAGCGATATAATGGGATTGATTGAGTCCTCAGCACCTAGCCACAATGGTGGACATGTTGGGATGGGGAGTGGGTTAATCAGACCCAGATTATATCTCTCCCCTTGTGCAATCACTGAGGGATCCTACATCACTCCTATCTGATGTCGACTTTCGGTGACACAATGCAGGTTCTATGAAGAAACCAGTGTACTTTAAGACGCTGACTGCCGCCCAAGGGCCAGCAACTTGCTGATAGACGGCAAAGGAGCTATGGGGGATATGGGCTCCGTTTTAACTACTCGAGCGTTCGTAACGACCCCGCTACTTGCCCTAACAGTCAATGCCAACCATAAGACATTGGGTTAGGGAGACTCGAAGATTACCAATTGAAATCTATAGAATAGACAATGATTAACTCTTTGAGATGCTTGTCACCACCGTGACTATGCAGAGATCATGCATGCTTGGTGGAAGAAGACCATGTTCACTGTTGTATAGTACTGGAAGGAGGTGCTACTGGATTTCACATGCGACCCCTAGGCATTGATGATAGCTGGAGTAGCCTAGAGCGAGCCGGACTACGCCCTATCCTACTCGGACGAGAGTTGCTCCCGGCTAGGTACTCATTCGGCCCAGTCATGCCCTAGAGAGTGAGAGGTAAGTCATTTCATTGAGGGCCCAGGGCAGGATACTGCCCTGAGGAACCAGCAGGATGGCCTGTACCCGATTAGTCTCGAAATCGTCGACCAAGGCTCAAAAACCTCACTGGCGAGCTGGAATTCGGAGAGCAAGCTAGCGTCCAGGAGCATGTTTATCGCATCATCAACCGTTGGAGCTGCCCTGATCTTCCTGAGGACACCCGCGGATTCGGCCTCATTGCTGGATCTAAGAAGCTCGAATACCCTCCGCAAATTGTCGCGAGACATCGAGATCTCGTCGATCCGCTTCTTCTCGGCCTCCCGAGGTGTCATTCCCTCTGGTACTGCGTATTCGCACGCTATGCCGTTCGCCACACAGGTGCTGCAGTTTGGCCGCTCTGCCGTGCACTTTGGACGTGAGCAAACTTATTTTCGACCATCAACCACATCTAGAAAAGACGAATGGGACAGCCTACTTTGACTTTTCTTCTTCGACAACCTAGTCAGATATCTCGTTAGATTGAAAGACGGCATCTGAAGAAGGCGACGGGGCTACAGTACTATTGCATGCCGCGGAGACCACACCTCGTTTCTTCTTACTCTCTGCTTGACCCTGACGGGGTGCTAAGCTGGGGCCCGGGGGATTCGCTGGCGCGCTGTCATTTGGGAGAATTTCGCGATATTTTCTTGATGGCTCTGCCATGGGCAATAGCGTTGGGCAAGGAGTCGCCCGAACATAGAGCAGATGGCGGCCTGAATAGTGAGAAAGGAGGATTCCCTACGAGGATGTTATGATTCCCGGCGAGAGAAACTGTGGTGAATGGCTGATGACGTCCGGGCAGAAAAGAGGATGTGATAGTGATGGTCCTCGCAGACTAGATCGCATTACCAGATGTTGAAATACCACCGAGCCCCCCCAAGAAACCCGATCTCATCCATCAACGTTCCACTAGAATTGAAAGACGAGTAAAAAATGCGTCAAAGAATCGCACTGGCAGGGAGGCGATACTGGTAAGGCATGAATACCTCGAACTAAAGCCACTACGGGGAGTGACATCAGCTGCTTTAGTGGTGCTCAGGAGCCAATCAAAAATGCTTTCCCGAGCTGACTGGCCCTGCGGAGATCTCTCTCCCCTAGCAACTGCACTCATCGAACCCCCATGACGCTCTCTGGCATATAAGGTTCTCCTTTGCCAACACCCACTCATCCTATTGTCCACTGGTAGTCATAAGTATCCATCTCCAGAGCGAAATAGCGACGTCGAACGAGAAAACCTTCTGTGAGAAGAAACCGAGCTGGACCTTGCTGATCGAGCATCAGAAGAGACTGTGCAACATCGAATCAGATCTCCCCTCTAGTCACAGAATTTCACCGATGTTCTTGCCACCGCTGATCACGACGTCCACGGGACCACAGCTTTCCTTGCCTGCCATATCCTCATCCTCGTCAACGATTCTTCGACTCCTCAATGTCACTAAATGGTCATCTTGGCTGACAGGAAGCTAGCTCCGACAGCATGATCGCCGGAGTCAGGTTAATGTACCATACCGAATGGCAGAAGAGCAGCTGCGAGGCACCGTCCCTCGAGCTCGAAGCCAAAGGACCAGAAAGCAGCCCCCAATCGGTTTCCTGTATTCCATTTACACCCACTCGGCGAGTCGCGCATTGCGGTTTCGCGCTCTGCACGACGAGGGCAAGCGGTATACCTCATGTCGCCAAACTCTAGTCGCGAGCCTTTCCACACAGGCCTGTAGCTACAGCTTCCCGCGTAGTTATGGTCGGCCTGAACCTAAGTAGCTAATTGCTTCACATAGGAGGCATGCAATCATATAGCGATTTGATGCATTCCTCCGTCGCCCAGAATATAGCATTTTTCATAAGGCTAGCGATCGATATCCCTGATTGAAACCTCGCGGACGATAGATAGGTCGTATGTGGGAGCCCTAGACTTAAAGCGCAGTATAGCAAGGATAGACAGAGCTACGCCTGCATATTCCCTATCGTTTGTCTCGAGGATGATCTTGGGGTTTTGAGCCTTCGAGAAAGGTATCGGAACGGGTTGAACACAGGGCAGGACTTGACACTGAAAGCCCAAGATTAAGCGAGCGCAGTCCTCATCGCTGGCGTTTATTGATCATTTTGAAAGCTATCAAAGTGGTTAGCACAGGTATCGCAACCTTGTAGGCGACGGATGCCTGCTCTGGCAAACTGGGCGGTGCGAGCTCACATCTCCATTGCACTGGACGATATATACTGCTTGATCAGCACGCAGTCACATCCGCTGTGCGAGAGGATCTCATTCTTAAGAGACAAGACCTCATCTTTCAAAGCGCTTGCTTGTGCGTGCAACACACTGTTCAGTTCCTTGCATTGTTTCTCCCTATCCTCAAGGCCTTTCTCCTGGTCTTTGACCTTCTGCCGGCACTTCTTTGCCGCCTTGCGGTTGCTTTCGAGCTGTCTCTTCCGTTTGCTCCTGCGCGCATCAGGTGGCCCATCAGCGTCAAGGGCCGAGCAGTCCTCGGGAGATCCAGTGATCTGGTGACGGCTAATAGCGGAGGGCTCCGAGTTTGTGGAGTCCGACCATAGGCGGCCAGGCTGTGCTCGAGTTGTGATAGCCGCAATATCCATTAGAGGCAGTGGCCGATTGGGAGGCTCGGCAGAAGACTGGGGAGAGATCAAGATACAGTCTTCGGGAGACTTAGGGTCAGGACAGTTGGAGTGGCCGTGGCCTTGAGACGCTGAGGAAAACGTGTAAATCCCCCATGAATATACGTTGTGCGGGAAGGGGACGCCAGCATATGCGGGGTGAGACGAGAGCGTGTTGATGAGCGACGGTGTTTGCTGGATAATATCGGTGAAAATGGGAACCCTGGCTGCGCTATTATCGGAAATGATATCTTCATCGTAGAAGACGAACGGGAGCGGCGGCGTATGAGGCTGAACATCTACCACCCTCCTCGCCTGAGCAGATAAGTGGAAAATGGAACTGGCATGGGTATGAACTTGGGACGGAGCATGGGCAGCAGCATTGAAAAGGGGGGGAGTCCGCCACGGAATGGGATTTTCGGGCTCCAAGAACGCTGCGTCCTCACCGGCGTCCGTCATCATCATCGCTACGTCAAGCTGATCAGCCGGGCGCAGTGACCGAACCAACAATACCAAGGCTGTGTCGTTGTTATGACGATTTTGCGCGTAATGGCCATGCAGAGATGAAGGAGAAGGCGATGACCCGAAAGGGTTATGGACATATATGGAGACCTGCTGGGGAGCACGACGTCCGCCCAGTACCAAGTCCGTCTGCGGAATCGCGTGTGGGGTG